AACACCCATGAAAGGGATTGATTTTAACCTTCAAGCTCCTAAATTGTTAGCCACGTTACAGAACGGCAGCCTTCAGTCGCAGCAAATGTCAGAGTGGGTGCAGAGTGGGTCCACCTTTTTGCACACGTTTATCTCACTCTGCCATGAACACTGGGGGTTTTCTCTGGAACCTTCCTCTCCCCTGCCAGGCAAGAGGAAGGCGCTTTTTCTTCCTCTTTCTTTCCAGACTGATAGGAATTTGGGACAAGGAGTGGGGGGAGGGAGTCAAGATAATAAAGACTACTTAAGCTATCAAGTAAGAACTGCAGATAAATCAAACTAATACACACCTTGAGGGGATCCCAGTTCTTGAAGTAATCTTTCATGAGAGGATAGACTATTGCTACTGCCAGGTCTACCCTATCAGACATTCTGTACTCTTCATAGTACTTGTCTTGCAGCGTCTCAAAAATCTTTGCACACTCATCCAAGGTTAAGGGATTTTCACAACTGGGCTGCATCCGTCTCTCGCACTCTTCCACCATCTCCAGCACCTTGCTGAGATTGTTAATTGCCGTCTCCTCGTGCGAGAGAACTTCAGACATCTTCTGTATCTCATGGGTCAGGTTGACAACCATGTCTCTCTCATACTGCAGCTGCCGGTCGTTCTGGATGATTTCCTGCTCTGTGATGTCAATGAGAAGCTGCAAGTTGTGCTCCAGCTCAGGCAAGGCAAATCCCTGGGGCTTGGAGTCTTTGCCCAGTGGCTGCTGAGGACTGTCATCTGGGATATTGTGCTTGTGGCTAATTTGACTGTAGCTGTAATAAACCTTTTGCTCCCGGCCCGTCATGTCTATAACCTTCCAACAAACAAGAACAAACATGTCTTAAAAAAAAATTGCATATCATGTTTAAAAAAAGGAGGAAATCCCTGACTCCAAATTGAAAACTGGAGATTTCCAAGTACCTTAATTACTCCAGGAAGCTACTAATACACTGAGGTATTCCGAGTGAGGCAACTGGCGATTACCTCTAAAAAGGCCTACTCCAGACATGAGGAGTTAGAATGAATAAGAAACAGTTTGGAATCAGAGCTGGAAGAGATTTTCCCATCTCAGTTTTACCATTTCACTGAGTAATTCTACAAGCAGTTACAATGCAAGTAGTATACTATTCATTATTGCATGGAAGTCTTCAGTACTTTTATACTTTTTTAAAGACATGTTCATTTTAGATGAATAATTTTATTAAGTGCATAAAAGACAAATCCCTTACTATCCCTTTTACGTAGAAGATGGCTCAAATTATGTGCTTACTTGCACAATCCCAATAAGGACATCTGTGCTTTCAGAAGTAGATGAGCATTTTATTTATGACAAACATGAAACAATTAAACTTGATTTGCAATTTAAAAACCTCCACATTTAAGTTAATTTGCATTTTCCTGAGGCCAAAGAAGTTGCTTAAAAACAAATCCAATGTCCGAGGCGACACAGTGACCTATTACATGATTCAGTGATGAGTCTGAGGCCTTGATTTTCACGAGGCTGCAGACAGGCAGTTCTTAGAACCAGCTTCTATTAAGGTTACCGATGGCTAAAAAGCACTCACAATACCAAAGCGGACAAACTGTTTCCCAGAGATGCCACCTCTTGGATAACCCACCTTACCTTGACTTGAGACAGCTCCTTCTGAGGGGCTGAAAGCTGCTTGTTGATCCTACCCTTGGCTTTCAGTTCTTCTACTGTCTTATAGCTGTATTTGGGCTTTTTCTTGCCTCCATTAGGATCCTTCCGCCACTGACTGAGCTCTTTTTGAAATTCCTAAACAAAAACAAAGAGGAGCTGTGGTTGCCGCTCTTTGTCACGCCCCAAATTTGCCTCTATCTTCTGCAGGAAAATAACCATCAGATCAGTTAAGAACGCTGTACAGCAAAATAATTGGGAATGCGGTAAAGCTCAGTGACAAACTGGCTCAGATGCTGCGGTCCCGTCAACCGCCCTATTCACAATGCCGGCAGTACGTTTCTGATCTTTCTTTTCTTTAGACAAAAGACAGACTATTTACCTGGGGGAACTGTTTGAAGGTGGGGTTCTAGCAAGACTACTGGAATAAACTGAGCCAGAAACAACAAAAAGAACATTACAGTGATGAGAAAAATATGTCTAAATGAAATTCACGCGCTATGTCTTTAGCTTATCTAAAATGAGCCCAAACAGTTTTTCTATGACACAGAAGCTGATACCAGAACTGAGTTTTGTACATACAACACATCAAGGAAGCAGATATACCAAGAACCATACAAATACCTCCTCAGCTTCTTCTTCCGAGTCCACAACAGGGAAGTCCTGCAAAGACTGGCTGGTTCTTTCAGAGCCGTATGCCCCCACAGCTCCTTTGCCTTTTCTTTGTTTGGCCTCAATTGGATTGATAATACCTAAAAGGACGGTAGTTAGATCAGAAGGAGCAGTTTGTTTACTGAGAGAGAACGACGAGTGTTTTTCTTACAGTACTCCAAGTTATCAAATCAGCACAAACATCCAGCCTGGTATTCTGCCTCTATCGCCATGGTATCTTCTACCACTTCACTAATTTCTTAGTGGCTGTAAAATCACTTAATTCCAGCACACACCAAAAAACCCAAAGCGTAGTATTATTCACATCTGCATTTCACTGCTTTTTTATTCTATCACATAAAACAACATCTCCTTTTCTGTGAGTTGACTACCTTTGGAATTTATCTCCCTTACTTCTCTCTCTTTCTCTCTTGCAAAATAACAAGAGCATAAAACTGGTCTATTTTAAGTTAAATAGAACTGAATCTTATCATGAGGACGCAGTTCACTTGCAAGAGATGCAAGAAAACAAGAATGAAGTCGTAAGCCACCTGGAGATGGCAGTCCTTTAAAGAATCCAATCTCTCTCCAAATTACTCGTTAACAATAAACAACCAGACGCGCGACCACAGTACCTTGAGCATTCTTCCCGAGACCTCTTCCAGGGACGTAACCCATCTTCTGGAGAAGCTTCTGCCCAATTCCTTTAGTGTGTCTCTCCCAGCTGCCAAAATCCACGAAAGATTTTGTCCCCCCTACAAAGCCTTTCTGACTAGGCTTGAAATTACCACCCTGTTAAAACAAATAAACAAACAAAAAACCCCCCACACAATATTAAGGCACCATAATAACCAAGCTCTGCATAATTTCACTCAAAAGGAAAGCTCTTCCCAGAAGCAATTCAGTTGTCACCACACCGCACAGCTCACTATGTCATGACTCGTGCATCCATGTAAGTTGCCTGAGATCTAAGGACTTTCCTGAAATTCCTTAGATAGAAAAGGAGAGGCCCGACGAGCTTAGAGTAACAAGCTACCAGTTATTAGGCTCCACCACTGACTTTAGCTGAAGCTGATTCCTGATTCTTTCTGTGTTTGGTAATTGAAAATAAGAACTTTAATTTTAATCTACACCACGCTCAGACTTGTCATACTCTTCTGTAAGATTAAAAAGTCTTTGGAATTTTTGTTACCCAAAGAAAGGAAGTAAACCATGGATGTTCTTTTATTTTAACCTCAGTTGACCAAAGGGAATATTAAAGGAGATAAAAGGGCCCAAAAGGACTGATGTTGCAAGGACAAACAACGATACATCAGAATAGCTCCAACAGACAGAGAAAATACCTCCCTTAACTGCACGCTGTCACGTGTGGTTCTCTCGTTTTAACTATTTCTTCTTTTCTTTAGTGCTCTATTATTGTTTCAGCCTAAGTTTCATAAATACGTTACACAGAATTGAAAACTTCCTGGATAACTCACTGTTTTTAACTTCTTCGGCACAAACTCTTTAGGGATTTCTTCCTGCTTAACAGGCTTTTCATCTTCATCAGAGTCTTCTTCTGACAGATCCTCAGCCGCCGACTTTTTCAGCCCGGCGCTGATGAAGTTCACAGGGGCTGAGTAATCCCTAGAGCTACACCAGAACAAGACCCGTGAGTGAATTCTGTTCCAGTGGACCAGTGCGCATTCCCAGACAAGCCCGGGGACTACCGTGCCTTAGACACCCCCCCCCCCCCCCCCCGGGGACTCCCGCCCCTTACACCCCCCCCCCCCCCCTTAAAATGAAGTCTTAAAAACTGACGAGCGGTTTCACACTGGATTTGCCAGGAGACAGCCGTTCTTTCCCCCCGGGCAGCAGGGACACGCCTGCACACGCGAACTCCCCGCAGAGGCAGCTCTGCGTGCCCGAGGGCAGCCCCAGTCCCAGGCGGGGCCGTTCAGGAGGGCGTTCGCAGCCCGAAAACCACCACGAAACGGGGCAGCCACCCGAGCCCCGCCCACG